GATTTGAAAGATTCAAAAAACATTTTACTTGTATAGACGAAATGAACGACTGGTGAAATTTTGAATTAGGAAATTTTTGAAAATATTCGATTTTTTCGAAATATTAGCAAATTTTCGTAAGAAATTGTTTTTTTAATTTCGATATTTTTCTGAAAATTTTCAAAATTTAGTTTTTTTTGAAAAGTATGAAAAATTTCGAAAATTTGAACTTCTTTTAGCTTGAATTTTTTTGACCAAATTTTCTTTAAAAGCATTGTTTGCATACCGTCTACTCAAGCAAAATATTTTTTGAATTAATTTAATGGAATTATTCGTTTTCTCAGAAACTGCATAACTGTTTTTACACCATTTACGCTCCATACCTCCGAAACGGCATAATTGTCTTTTGCAAAAACATCTTGCGATCCAGTACGAACCGAATGATTTTTCAATCATACAAATCCCATACTGTCGAGAATGTTGAGGACATTTATTTGAACCATATTCGTAAATTTTAAAATTAAAAATCTTGGTACGGAACCCAAAAAATTGGACACAAAATGTGTACGCTTTATTAAAATTTCTATAAAATATCTAAAAATTTGATTTGCATATGTCCAATGAACATTCTTGACCACCAAAGAGCATTTTTTAACTCATTTTTATTGAGAGTTTACAACCGCTGAACCTGCCTTTTCAAAAATTTGAACAGTTCCTTGTTTAGTCAATATAAATAAAATGTTTTTTCACTTATTCAAATCGGGCGTTTCGCTTTCTCAATGACTGAATTACCATTTTTGTTTTGTTTTGACCCGTATCTTCGAAGCGGTCTGCCTGTGTCAAAAACTAATCAGCATGTCTCCTTATCAATACAAATCGAATGTTTTTTAAATTATTCAAATCGGTTGATCCGTGTTCCCGAAATCGTCGACGAAACTTTGTATCCGCACACACACGCGCACACATACACACACATACATCCATTTTTAAGGTAAGGTAAAATGTTCAGAAACCTTTGAAACGTAAAGATATATAAAAATTTTCATTTCGATTTTTTGCGATTACTATAACTTACCCCGCGGAAAGTTAAAAATTTCAAAATTTAAAAAAGTTCAAATTTTTCAAAAATCAATTTTTATCAAGAATCTATTTTTTTCAAAGTTTTGGTAAACGTTTTTTAATTCTTGATTTTGGTTCGGAAAGTTCCAGCAATTCGCCTTAAGGCACGATGTTATACACCACCAATTTATTATATATTCCTCGTCTTTTATAAATATAAATATAATTTAAACAAAAATAAGAAACGAGACATCATGAATATACAAATTCAACAATATATGCGTGTTGTTCACTTTTCTGTGTATATAATTTCTAGTATGTACTATATGCTTATAATTTGTACTCCGAATGCATACAATAAGATAAGTTCTTGCCAAGAATAGAACTCTTCAAAATATAGAGCTACACAGTTGTTTTTTTACGAACTTGTAGCACGTTCGTTTTTATTCATTTATTTCTTGCGGTCTTTGTTGCATTAAGTGCATTAAAAAATACCGACTCTTTTGAGGTTTGATAAACAAAATTTTTGATATAAATTGATAAAATATGATTAAATCATATAATCTAATTTTATAAGAAACTTTAATTTTTTTTCTGATATATTATATGATTGTGAAAGTATGTAATTGATAAATCTTACATAAATTGATTGTGATTACTGAACATGGTAAACTCGTATACCAAATAAATATGTAGAAAGACATATATGATTGATTCAAATTTTGACGAAATTCAAAAAACCATTTAGTTATACTGACTTTATCTTCTCTGTATAATAATGGTAGTATAATTCAAAATTAAACACAGTTCATTATAAAAATGAAATATAATTATATAAAAGGTCATGTTTATCAGATTTTCATTAAATTAATGATAAAATTAAGTTAAATTCAAAATTTCTTATTATCATGGAATCTTGTAAATCTTGGACGATCTCTTGTGTAAACTGATAAAATAAACTATATTGCTAAAAATAAAGTGCAGATTTGAAAATTAAAAAAAAAATCGAATTTGTGATGCTTGGTGACGGAGTCATTGGAGCGCTTTCGAGCGGGATTAATAATAACTACTCAAATTTTGATATGGACTCCTTAGAAGATATGCTTATGAAGGTAAATAATTAGGAATAATTTTCCTAATGTACAATGCAGTCCATATACATTATGTTCATAAAATAAATATTAATTTCTGCATTTGGCTGTGGTCGAGATATCGGCCTCTGTGCTAACAATAGGTTGATATAATATTGGAAAGGGTCGATTTCAGTAATGATTTGAAATACTTCTGAGGTTGCCTATTCGACACGTGTTAAGTTGGATAGAAAATCTGCCAAAAATAAAAACTATATATTTACAATATTGAAACACTTATTGAGGGTCCAGTATATATTAACAAAAACCATTTTAATCTTTTCTTTCTAATTTTTGTCGTAAAAAATGGTTACAAATAATAATATGAATAACATGCTTACGACCACGAATAATAATATGAAACAAAAAAAATGTATTAGTTTATGTATTCAAAATTGTGCTTCAAATTTGTAATAAGTGAGAATAGATGTTATTCATTAATAAAAGTTCGAAATTGAAATATACGAATATTATGATTTGTGTATATCATATATAAATTCATGAACCGATTCTGACGCATAACAGACAAATGTTATGGCAAGGCTATGTTATGAAGAAGTTACCATACAAATCGTTTTAAATATTGTCAGGTTGTCAGGTAGAAGGCCTAACCTAGAGACCACACAAATGTCAAAAACTCGATCTTAGATAACAGGGTCTTTCTGCCACAGCTTCATAACATACCTTTGACGTTGCAGTTTATATCTAAATGCAACGCCTGAATGCACAGCAAATGCATGACATTTTGATAGTATTTAGTATGATTCAGCAGCATAATATATGGAAGTTGGAGCGTAACATGACTTTGCCATAACATTGGTCTGTAATGCAGCAGAATCAGCATATCAATTGAATTTTTATGATTGCGGGCTTTGTTCAAATGTAAAACTCTATTATCAGATTGTTGACAATTCTGTTGACAATCAGTATTAATAGTATAATAATAATCTTTTTTTAATGGGTTTTGTAGTCTTCGGTGTCCGTTAAAAAATGAAAAACCAAAACCAAAATTTTGATTAATTTTGTTCTTCTATTTCCACAAAGAAAAAAACGCGGTGCAAGCTCGCCTTTCCTTTAAAAAAAAGGCAGTATCAAAATTGGTTTGCCAAATTACGTTCTGGTGATTGTTCACATAAAGAAGAAAAAAATGCTCTGGTCTACTTAGTCAAAGCAATCATAGTTTTGTATCATATGTATAACCTGATAATGGTCATGTAAAACAATTTGGTTAAATATTTCATAACATGGGTTCCTCGTAAAATGTAAGAAAGACATGACAAATCAAAATGGTGTTTTATTTCACCATGACAACTTATGGTCACACACATTTTTGTCACTCGGTGTGTTTGTGTGTGTATGTGAACAGATTTTTTGCCGTAAATCGACGTTTTCTCAAAAACGTTTGATTTCAAAAATTTAAAAGCCATTTGATGTATTTCGACGAGGACTAACGTTTATCAATTTTTGCGCTGATTACTTTTTGGTAAAGATCGTCCGTGCCGTTTTCTTGTAATAAAGTGTCAAAAAAATTTTCGACGATTTTTATGATTTTGTTTACGGTAGATACCATAGTCTTATAGATCATACTAAAATATTATGGCCCTACGACAAGTCGTTTAATTTTAAAAATCCTTCAAAGTTTGCAAAAATTAGTATCGGTTTTTTGGCATTTGTCAGAATTAGATCTTTTATCGACGTTTGCTCAAAAACAACTGAACCGATTTCAAAAATTTAAAAGTCATTTGATGTATCTCGATGAGGATTATCGTTCAATATCGTTTTGTGCGACGATCTGCCAAGCCGTTTCTTTGTAATTTGAAAAAAAGTGTTAAACTTTTCGTCCACATTTAAGCTTATACTACCGAATAGATTTTAAAAAATCAAAAACTGTTTGAAAGATACTAGTTGGGAATGATACTGATACACCCAGTGGTGTCGAGCCGGAACGTCGTTCCGGCAAATCAATTTTGGGCCGGAACGCGAAAAAATTAAAAAAATTGCTACATATGGAAAATGATTTGATAAGTGAATTTTATAAATTATTATTCAACTAATTTTTATTAAATGTTTCTATTATTGTAATTTTTTTTTATTTTTTATTATTGTAATTTTTTTTTATTTTTGTTTCTTTCCTTTTCGAACGGAACCGGAACAAACACGAGAACCGGTTTTTGAACCGGTTTTTAAATTTTAGCGTTCCGGAAAGAAAAAATATTTGCACAACACCACTGCTGATACCTTACGACAAGTAGTTTAATTTAAAAAATTTATATTTATTTTATGAGTTTGAGAAAATCAGTAGTTTTTTTCACGCTTGTTAAAATTAAAATTAGACGATTTACTTGCTATACCGATAGAGTACTTAGTCTTAATGAACATATTAAACTATTAAAGTCCTACGGAAACTGGTTCAATTTGAAGTTGATTTTCGAAAATTTGCTTTTTCGAAAATACTCTGAGTTAACGTGTTCGTTCATTTTCAATTATTTGTAATAAATCTAGTCTTTTAATCACTCATAAATTAATTTATTTTTTATTGATTATGTCGATTATTTACCCATATCGGGAAGTTCATGTAACTTGCCTCAAGGCAAAATACCAATACCAACTAATTAAAATTTATTTTTATAAAAGATTTTTGTTTATTATGTTTAATCTATTCATTTAGATAATTATTTTTACTTTTATTGTTCAAATTTATAAACAAGATGTATCGCATTGATTAAATAGTTTAGATATTAGATTAGATTTAGATATTATTCCGTGAAACCTGTTTAAAGTTAAAATAAAAACAGTTTATTTTTTGCCACCTGGCTCTCGCTTTTTAACCCGCATTGAGACAAATTGTTTGAAAAATTTTCTTTGTTTTTTTCTAGTTATCTAATCTAAATTTTTCATTTTAGTTGTCAGAGTTGGAGCAAAGAGTTTTGGAAGCAGAAGGTCGTGCTGAGGAAGCTGAAGATAAGGTATGTTACGTTAGTGTATGAAATTTTATATATATAATTCATAAAAAAATTAAATAGGCTTATTGTTTCTTAGAATCAGTTGTATAGAGTAAAGTATATTATAATATTATTTTTGAAGAATACGTAAATTTGGTAATTTCTTATATTATGTAGATATACATGGATTGAAATTATAAGATAAATGTGAATGCACCAGAAAATATTCATACATGATGTATATTTCAGAATGAACTTAAAATGGATGAATTTTCCGTGCAGCAACTACTAATACTTAAATATATTGAAGTTTAACCAACTCGAAACAAATAAGAGTGACTAATTTTGACTTCTAAGCGATAAATATAGAGAACCGCTCTTATTCTACGAACTTTGTTGATCTTCTCTTTAGATTTTTATTTTTACTAATTTACTTGCCATCGTGAGTTGTGGAGTCTATAAATATACCAGAAATAATTATGTGTTGCATACTGCCATGCAGACAGTTGAACTTACAGAAATATATATGAAAAATACTTATATACGCAGTTTTATCATACAATTTATTTGGTAATTTATTTACTTTCCGTAGGGTAGTTATGGTAAAGGACCGAAATTCGAAAATGAAAATTTTTGCATATCTTCACGTTTTGAAGGTGTGTGTGTTTTGTATGTCCGCATTTTTTTCGTCCACGTTTTCGGGCGCGGGTCAACCGATTTGAATGATCTAAAAAACATTCAATTTGTAATGATTTGAGGAAAAGGTGATTAGTTTTTGGCAAAGGCAGGTCCAGCCATTTCAAAGATACAGAGCTAAATATGCAAAAAATGCCAGTTTTTATATTATATAACAAATAATTGCTTTCGGGAAAAAAATTGTTTTTTTTTTACTTTTTTTCTAAAAAAAATTTTTTTGTATATTGAAAATAATTCAGATTTTAATTTTAATTCTGACTAAAGTTCTAATATACTTTAAACAAATAATTAACTTCCCGAAGGAGAAGTTTATGTTTTCATCAAAAAATCCGATTCGCTAATTTTATATTTTCTCGACGTTTCAAGCCATTCTGAATCGAATGAGACCAAATTTGGAAAAAGTATGTGTGTGTGAACAGATTTTTGCCGTTAATCGACGTTTTCTCAAAAATGGCTGGACCGATTTAAAAAATTTAAAAGCCATTCGATGCATCTCGATGAGGACTAGCGTTCATCAATTTTGCGCGACGATCAGCCAAGCCGTTTCTTTGTAAATAGCAGAAAAGTGGAAAATTTTTCGTCCACGTTTTAGCCCGCAGTTCTAAATCGATCTTGAAAATTCAAAAACCGTTCGAAAGATATTGATCGTGCTGATGAGTTGTTGGTAGAGATCGGCCCGGCCGTTTTCTTGTAATAAAGTGTTAAAATAAAAAAATTTCGGCGATTTTTATTATTATTTTTTTGACGGTAGATACCATAGTCTTCTAGATCATACTAAAATATTACGGCTCTACGACAATTGGTTTAGCTTTAAAAATTCGTCAAAGTTTGCAAAAATTGGTATCGTTTTTTTGGCATTTGTCAAAATTAGACCTTTCATCGACGTTTTCTCAAAAATGCCTGAACCGATTTCAGAAATTTAAAAGCCGTTTGATGTATCTCGATGAGGACTATCGTTTGTCAGTTTTGTGCGACGACCTGCAAAGCCTCTGTAATTTGAATTTTCGTCCACATTTAAGCTAATATTACCGAATCGATTTTAAAAAATCAAAAACTGTTTGAAAGATATTAGTTGCGAATGATACTGATTAGTTTTAGGTGAAAATCTACCGAGCAGTTTTCTTGTAATTAACTGTTGAAAAAAAAATTTGAGCCGATTTTTATGAAACTTTTTTTGATGATATATATCATGGTCTTATACGACTTATTGAAATATTACGACCATACGACAAGTAGTTTAATTTTAAAAATTCATCAAAGTTTAAGAAAATTAGTAGTTTTTTTGAGATTTGTTAAAATTAAAATTAAACGATTTTACTTGGTATAACGTTAGAGTACTTGGTTTTAATGAACATATCAAGCCATTAAAGTCCTATGGAAACTGGTTCAATTATAACAATTGTTGATTTCTGAAAATTTACTTTTAGAAAAAACTCCGTGTCAAAGTGTTCTTTCGTTTTCAATTATGTGTAATAAATCCACTCGGAATACTTTTAATCAATCATAAATTAATTTAGTTTTGATTGATTAGGTCGATTAATTACACATATCGGGAAGTTTATGTAACTTGCCTCAAGGCAAAATAGCAAACCAACTAGTTTTAACTTTGCAATTCAGTTTATATAATTCTTATAAATATTGGACAATGTTACAATATTTATAATAATCTATTTGAAAACATTTAATATTCCTCGAACAATTCGTTCCAGTAATTTCCAGTTCCGGGAAGTTCCAGTAATTTGTCTTAAGGCACGATGCCATACACCACTAGTTATATATTTTAATTTATTCGTCTATTTTGATTTATTGCACTACATTTATAACAAAAATATTAGCGATGAGTGTTACAATTTTTTATTGCAAATATTCAAGTCACTATTAAATCTATGTCATGTTCTCAATCAGTTATGATTACTTACACGCATATTGCTTTGAAATTTTAGTATGCATGCGATACGGCGAAAAATTTTAAAAAAAAAAACGAAAAAATCATTGTACAAATTTTACTTCATGATAATTAAAATCTTATACTTTTTGGCGTTTTCTTGGTACGGAAACCAAAAGAATGGAATTTGACGTGCAAACTAATTAGTACGTCTACCCGTCAATACGCATCGAATGTTTTTTGAATCATTGAAATCGGTTGATTCGTGTTTTCGAAAACGTCGACAAAAATTTGTATCCGTACATACACGCCCACATACACACTTACGTTCATTTTTTTAAGTCATTGCAAAATATTCAGAAGACCTTAAAACGTGTAGATATACAAAAATTATTTTTTGATTATTTTTTGGATTATTTTAACTTACCATAGGGAAAGTTAATTAATTCAAACAACATCACTACTCGAAATTTTAAAACGAATAACTATTTTTATTTTTGCGAAAACGAGAACGAAAATTTTTGCACTTCTTTGCTAATCAAGCATTTCATCTTATGGCTTTCAAATATTTGAAATCGATGCAGCAGTTTTTGAGAAATTGTCGACGAAATATAAATATTGACTAATTACGCCAGAAAGTATTGACGAGCAAATCATTAATTATAGTAACAAGTTATAAATAGCGTTTTCCTCAAAGAAAGTTCGCATAATGTTCCTAGTGTGTGTTATCGACTTAATCAATAAGAATTTAAATTTAGCGTGACTTAATTTTGAAATTTTAACTCGGCGCAATATTCCAATACTCAATTAATTAATACGACACAATATAATGATGCGATTTTCATCAAATTCATCGAAGAAAGTTTTTTTAGCTAAACAAACACGATTACAAAATGATATTTTTTGATTTGCACTTTTTTGCTAAACCGTCAGGGCCGACCTGTTGATGATTTTTAAAAATTATACCTAATACTTGTCGTAGGCCTATATATTTAACACTTTCGGGACAGCACCGATTTCAAAACAATCTACTTTACCGGCTGTAGACTTGATTTCATTGTGTATGTTATGCAATTTGTTTGATAAAGATTTATGGTCATTGAAGGACATACATTTATAATATTAATTTATTTTTGATCATTTTATAAAGAATGGTGACGTTCAAAACAATTTCCAAAATGCATAGCTGGTTGAGTTTTGACATGTTTTACAATAAAATGTTGTTCGCCGCCTTCCTCCTGGTGCTTTTCTGTCAGAACAGACAATACAATCTCTTTTTCTTTCACTCACTGCCATAATGGTTTATTTTTTCTATTATATTGTCTAAAAATTCATTTATAAAATATAAAGTAAAATAATCTATTAGATGTCTTATATTGCTTGGTATTTGTAGTCGGGGTGTTTGTTGATGTATGTCAAACTCGATTATTGAAGGAGAATCGGCACATTCGCTAATGTCTTCCCGCTCTTCATTTATTTTGTCGAACTTCTTCTTCTTTTTGTTGGTTGGATAATATCATCATCACATTCATCAAATGTCAATTTGAATGTCTCATCTTCACTACTGCTTAGTTCACAAAATTACCAGTCGTTTTGCCATATTTAAAAGCGCTCCGTCGTTTTAAATATTAAAAAAGACCATATAGCAAAGAAAAAGGCTAAAAATACTACTAAAATAACTTAAACACTGCTATATGTAATTTATTCAACTTATCGATGCAAACTGAGTCATTGTTTATAAAATAGCCTGGGCCTCACAGAGTATATTTGTCCACTGTGGTGGACAGCCGTCCATAAAGTATTAAGTATCCTCTGAGGCCATGATCTTTACATGATTTAAATTAAAGTTAAAGACACAATACAGAAACAATTGTCTAAATTAAGTTTTATAAAGTTCGCAACTATTCTACTTTTTATGACTGTTACTGGACTTCTTATTGTAAAATTTCTAGGATTTCATAAATTATTACGCAATTTCATAAAAGCATTAAATACAAATGGAATTTGTTTCATATTAAAAACAGATGAGTATTTTTTTAACTTCCCGTAGGACAAGTTATAGTAATCGCAAAAAATGGAAAATGAAAATTTTAATATATCTTTACGTTTGAGAGGTTTCTGAACATTTTGGCATACTTTAGAAAAATGGATGTATATGTGTGTGTGTGTGCGGATTCATATTTTCGTCGACGATTTCGGGAACACGGATCAACCGATTTGAATAATTAAAAAAACCGTCTAGCCGTTTCGTAGATACGGGGCAAAAAGTGCCAAAAACGGTAACTCAGTTTCTAAGAGAACGGAGCGTTCGATTTTAATAATTCAAAAAACGTTTTACTTGTATGGACAAGATGAAGAATTGTTCAAATTTTTATGAAGGCAGGTCTAGCGGTACGGACATCTAGTGAAAAAAGTAAAAAATTGCCATTTGGCGGTCAAAAAT